AGTTTTAAGGAGAAAATACTCAGCAATGGTGTTGATTAATAGATTGGCACATGGTTTGTCTAAAAGCATATTAAAAACACCACATAGACAAATAAACAACATAAAAAAACTTGATTTTCACTACAGGGGGACTTTAAGTAAAAGATGATGCTATCTAAAACATAGAAGCAGACCAGACTGCCAAAATGAAAGTCATGAGGTTCACCTCTTATAGCGAAGAATGAAAGGCCAAAACAGTCACTTTGTGGTTCTGGGCTTTCAGCAGTACATCATTGCCAGGTCTTCAAATCAGCAAACTAAGAAATAATTGAGTAAATGGGATGAAATGGATTTGAGACAGGAGCACTTACTGATATGTTCTATAAATACTTGAAGGATGAGTTGAAGAGCATCTTGAGTGTTTTTCAAACAATCTAATAATGTTTTCATTATGCCTTTCTCAGGTTATCTTGAAGTGATCTTGTATTTTTGTCACCGTTACTATTATAAACTATAATATATATGTTAAAATATTTTGTGTATGACTGCAAGAGGGCTGATTATGCCTCAATAACAAGACTTTTATATACTGAGCAACGTTTGACGTAGCAAATTAGAGGCATTCACGCTGAAGTTGTGGAGTATATCAATATTGTTATTGCTAAAAACGCTTAATTGTCACATAATAAGTTTATTACTGTCTGTTTACACGAAGTCACCAACAAATAGATTTATTTATGCTCTGATACAAGACAATGATGCAAGAGGCCTCTCTGGAGAACTAATTTGCATTGAGATATTCAGAAAATATGCAAATTTATAAGCATACCCCTGGCTAGGCAGGGGCGCTGGGTGATGCTAATGCTAATGCTTTGATCGAGAGCACAACAACCGGAGCAAAATAACTTTAGTAATGTCCTAGCAACCAGTCAAACACCCTAACAACCACCTGTCCTGTCAAACAATCTGAAAACATTAGCTATGCGGTAGCTAGTTTACTTTAATGTTAGCATTACTAGCATTGTTTTCTTCTTAATGACTTAAATTGAACCACTTAACAAACACCCAGAACATCCAAAAACATGTAAAATATAGTTTAGTAATAAAAATGAGCTTATAAAATTAAACTTTTGGTGTGAATTTTCAGCCGCAAAATCCGTATATTTCATGTATTTAGATGCTAACGCACTTACTTAATGCTAGTCTGTGGTTTAGGCTACTCAGGGCATTGATGGGGTTTTATTTACGTCTGGGAAGTCTGAGAGAAGAAATGTTTATGTTATATTAAGATACATTATGGCATGCCATTACTTCCATAGTTAGGTTATGAGGGCAACACCTGTTTCTATAGCTCTACAGTATGACAGCTGCACGTAGTGCTAACGCTAGCAGCTTACCATATGAGCCTCCCAGTTTTAACAGCTCTGTGTAGATAAACCTGGAAAGAAGTGTGGAAAACTTGTTTAGAAACGTTCTTATGTCATTTTTTTTCCAATCTAGTGTCCATCACATTGCGCCGTGAGATATTTTGGTATAGCAATGTAGCGATTTATGGATAAAAAAAAGATATAAAAGAATGCCCATGACAACAGGTGGACACAACAGCTTGACAGATTTTCTGTGCACAATATTATACATTCTAAGTATATCAGTCTTGAGGAATCTACGTTAATCTCTGCCCTGTTGTTTTCTTGTGTTCAACAGACACTTAGGCTTAGATCTGGTACCCAGGAAAGAGTTTGAAATGGTCGATGCGGACCAGATCAGCGTTTCTGATCTCTATAAAATGGTAAGTACACTGATAGCTTTCCGATCAGTTTGCGATGTGTGCATTTTCATCCCTGAAGCAGTAAATTGCTACAGCCTCCTCTGTTGGATGTTAGGAGAACATACAATAGATGTTTTTGCAACGCTTATGATTTAAAATTCATGCAAATTGCTTACTTTATTCAAAGACTTTTATTTATGAGATGCTTGGGCAGAAAAATTACACTTTACAAATGAGGCACTTATGTGCGCTTAATGCAAAGGTTATGTTTGCTGAATTATTTGCTTATAGCATTATGATTTTACAGTTCTGGTTTAAATTATTATATATGCATGTTTGTAAGTATTCACATAAAAAAAGAAAAGAAAAATAAAGTATGAAATCATAAATCACAAAAAAGACTAAAATATCTCATATAATATTTTTTATATTATTAAATGATTATAGTTAGTTTAGTGTTTTAGTGAATTTTTTTTGTCTTTTGTGCCGTACATATATATATATATAGCAATTGTATATTACTAAAATATTTTATATAATTATACAGTTTAAGTTTTCATTTATATGTAAACCATTAAAAGTAAAATGAAGACTGTGACTTAAATTCTTAAAAGATTAGTCAAATATAAACTGAAAATGAAATTAAAATCCAGGTCATTATTTATTTGTGATTATGAAACAGTTTATGATTATTTTTTTTCGTTGTAATAATGACCTGTATTTTGGTTTGTACGTCTCTATTTTCAAGTGTTTTTGTTGCTTTTGCTGCAAGTTCTTCAAAATGGGTTTATTAATATGTGAGTCATCCATGGAAACGAGAGCAGGAATTAATGTTTTAATGCATTCCTTTAACTGTTGCATATGTGCGTAATGTAGGCATAATGTGCAGATGTTGCCGAGTTCCCACCTGTAGAATGAGCTGAACGATTAGAAAGCAGAAATGTTTTAAACACTCCATTAGAGGGCAGATTCCCAAGACGCCTCATCAGAATGAAACATTTACATATTCTATTTCCCAGAAAGCCTCATAGCGTATTTACAGCTTTATGGAACAGTTACCCTTTGGAGTTTAATAAGAAACAATATTGGAAATTTAAAAAATAAGCTTTTTTAGCTTTTGATTTTATTTCTACCCTCAGTAATTCACTTTATTCTCTAGACCCCTATTCGACGATGATAACGTTTTATTGGAAACGGGTTTTGACACCAGCATCTGTTTCTAACAGGTGCTTCTGAATTGCAGCTTGTGGAAAAGCTGCTAATACTGTACATTTATTTGCTTCACACAATTTCCGGATCTTTTTCCATGATGTCTGCACACGTTTGTGCCATATGCAAGTATCTACGTCTGGGTTTGTGTGGGACTGGATTTGAGTGCCCACTCTGTAATATGACAGCAAAGGGGCTAAATTTACCTCTGCGCTCTGCCTGTATTCTGCAGTTTAGGATATATATAGCTGTTTCCACAAGCTGCAATCCAAAAGCACCTGTTAGAAACAGATGCTGCTGTCAAAACCTGTTTCCAATAAAACGTTATCGTATACATAATCTAAAATCTACACATGCGCAAGCTTAACATTGTTAATGCTTGAAAAATATTTGTTTAACATGATGAAATATTAGCTTGTGTATTTCAGTTTGGCTGTAAAATGAAACTATTTATCAGCATTCCATGTCCAATAAATCTTATTATTGTGAAAATTATATTTAATATATCAC